CTAAAGGGAACAACTTGAAAATAGTTCATGGGCACCTGGGGCCGTTGTCTGGGAGCAGGTGGAGTTTGGTATCTGAAGTTAACTCTATCAGTAATTATGTCTTGTGTGTCATGTTCTGCTGGTTGGGAGGGCTGGAGGGGACACTCAAAGGCCATGCAAAAGTCAGCTAGAGTCAACAATTGCCTGGTCTTTCCTCCATGGAAGGAGGGTTGTTTTTTTAATTTTTTTTTTAGCTGTAGATGGACACAATATCTTTATTTTATTTATTTATTTTTATGTGGTGCTCAGGATCGAACTAAGTGCCTCACACATGTGAGGCAAGCGCTCAACCACTGAGCCACAACCCCAGGCCCCAACTGAAGGAATTTTTACCCTGCATACCCTGCATTGGTGAGGGGAAGGCCAGGATGGTTGAAGAATAAAAAGTGAGAAGAGAGAAAAAACTGCTACACTGAGCAAAGGAAAGAGAGAGTTGGGTCAAAATGCTTGTTTTAAAAATTGGTCTGGCCTGGGCGTGGTGGCACATGCCTGTAATCCCAGTGGCTCAAGAGGCTGAGGCTTTGAGGATTACAAGTTTGAGGCCAGACTCAGCAATTTAGCAAGGTTCTTAGCAACTTAATAAGACTCCATCTCAAGATAAAAAATTTTTAAAAAAGGGTTGGGGATGTGGCTCAGTGATTAAGCACCCTTGAATTCAATCCCTGGTACAGGGGGAAAAAATTGGTCTGAAAATGTTACACTTCAATAGGTCAGTCTGAATCCTTAAAAGCTATGGTGTTGGCCCATCCTGCTTCTCTGAGGCTGCACTTCCTCTTTTCAACTCCTATTTGTCCTACAAAGAGGGAACAGATATTCTCTGCAGTGGAGTCATATGATGTAAATGGGAAATGAAGTTTATAAAAGCACTTGCAAGAGGGGAAGTAGCAAGTGCACATGGCTTCTGAGCTCTCCGGGTCACAGTGAGAGGGGGCTTGGGCTGGACATGGCCAGCTGAAGCCAAAAGCAGAAAGGGCTTTAAAACCATCCCTTCCCCTCAAGCCTGGGAGCTTCCTGGTGGAGGAAGCAGCCTTGTTGCAAAGGCTTTATTAGCCTGTCCTCCCATTGGTCTAACTCAGACCTGCTGAGCCAGCTCTGCTAAGCTAAGAGAGGGCAGGAAATGCATGTTTGAGGCTTTCTGAATTTGCTCCCTTTAGTCATGCCCAGGTTTCTGGCCCCTGGAGCTACATCCTCTAAACAAGAAAGAAAGGCATTTTCCAATCTGGTATCAAAGGTTCATTCATATCCCCTACCCTCCCAACTTAAGGCTTTATTGTCCTGGACATTTCAATGTGCTTAGCCCCAGAATATCTCCTCTTTGCCACTTGGTTCTCCAGATCAGCAAATCACGACAAAGAAGTATCTAATCATGCTGAGCTACACAGAGTCTGGAGACAACACATGCTCTGCCTTTATTTCCATGTGTTGGATTATTTTCAACATCTATTTTTCGGCAGTGCTGTTAAAGGATGATTTATACACCAGGATATAAACAAGACTCTCATAGACCTACAAAAGGCACTGATATGGTTTGAATCTGGAATGCCCCCTGAAAGCTCATGTGTTGAAGGCTTGGCCTAATGCAGAAAGGTTCAGAGGTAGGACTTTAGGAAATGATTAGATCACTCACGAGGGTTCTAACCTTATTTGTGGATTAATCATTAATGGCTTCATAATTTGAATGGACTGCTGGGAGGTGGTGGAAACTATGGGAGGTGGGACCTAGTTGAAGGGAGTATGTCCGTGGCTGTGTGCCCTCTGGATTATAACTTGTGCCTGGCCTCTTACCACCTCCCTCTGCCCCTGTTTCCAGGCTGCTATAAGATAGCATTCTGCTCCACCATGCTCTCATTTCCATGATTCTCTGCCTCACTGCCTTAGCAATGAAATCAGTCAACCAAAACCTCTGAAACCATAAGCCAAAATAAACCTTTCTTCCTTTTAAGTTGTTCATCTCAGGTATTTTGTAACAGTGATGAAAAGACGATTAACATATGAATAGATATCATCAAAGATTTATTTAACTCAATTAGTGAGGGGACCAATAAGATGCTACAAGTAGTTCAAATGAGAATTTGATTTACAGAGATTTATATTTTCTGCGAGACAAAAACAATAATTTGTATAGCTCTAGGCAGGAAAGATATCCATCGGTATCAGTTTTCTACATGTTATCAGTTTTCTACCTTTACAGAATTATAAAATAGCCTAGTCAAAGACAATCAGAGACACACATCCTATAAAATCAGATAATCCCCTGGGGATTCACTGGACAGGGCTCAGCATTCTATTGAAAGGACACTCAGTAATCTCATTTGCCCACTTCAAAGTATGACAGTTTTTTCTGACCAGTTTCATTTTCATTGTGATTGATTATATATAATTTCAAAGAAAGGTTATTCTTGATTTAAAAAAAAAAAGGCTGGTCTCTTTATGTTTGGCTGATTACTTTCATAATTTCTTCAGAGTATTATTTACCATGGAGGCCTCTTTCAGTTTGTTTTGTAAAATTTAGAACCATATGTACTCAAACAATTCCAAATTAGCTTCTGTCTAGAAGTTACCATAAGGAATCCTAAATGAGACTTTTAAAAGCACTTATCACTTGCTATTTACTGAGACTAAGAAACCAAGCCCAAAAAACTCCACCTGTACCTGTACATTGGGTGAATTATTTTCTTCTTGAGGCTTAAAAAGTTACCCCAAGGTGACTGGGATGTAGCTCAGTGGTAAAGCACATACCCTGCATGTGTGAGGCCCTGAATTTAATCTCAGTACCAGGTTAAAAATCATTGCCCCAAGAACTTGCATGGAAGTGATAAGCCTGGACCCTATAAATTGGCCCCAGGATCAATTTTCTAGAGAGGACTTTGTAGACATTGATTTCATAAGTACATCTAAATTTTGTTCCTTAAAATGGCTTGTCACATTAGTTAAGTGAACATCAGTCTCAAATAAGACATTCCAGGCAAGGCCTTGATTGCATAATTGATTCTTCCACTTATATCCTGGCACAAAAGAAGACAGATTTTTACTGAACCTAAGCAAACAATTATACTGCCATGAAATATAAATGGGTAGAATGTTTCTGAACTTGAAGGAGGGGAATTATATCAGTGGGAATCAGATATCATTTTAAAATGCTTCATCATGGTTTACAAAAGCAGAATTTTAAAAATTATTGTTAATTACAGATAGCATAAGAAGGAAAAAAAATTCTTACATATCTAGGAAATAGGAATTTAAAACAAATCGATGATAATCCAAACAACCTAGATAAAATTCCCTCATCAATTCATTCAAGCCTATGTAGTTATTCGTCTATTTTTTGTTGCTGTAACAAAATGTCTGAGTAATGTAAAAAGAAAAGAGGTTTATTTAGCTCATAGTTTTTGAAGCTGAGCATCCATGATCAGCTGTCTTCACTGTTTCAGCCTCTGGTGTAGGTCTGATCACATCGAAGTCAGGCAGATGGTATCTTGGGAGTATATCAAGAGGGAGAGAGCAGTCACACAAAGAGACAGGAATCAAGAGTCAGGCCCTGCATGCTGGAGCATGCCTGTAATCCCAGCAGCTCGGGAGTCTGAGACAGGAGGATCGTGGGTTCAAAGCCAGCCTCAGGAAAATCGAGGCGTTAAGCAACTCAGTGAGACCCTGTTTGTTTCTAAATAAAATACAAAATAGAGCTGAGGAGATAATTCAGTGGTTGAGTACCCCTGAGTTCAATCCCTAGTACCAAAAAAAAAAAAAAAGAGAGAGAGAGAGAGAGAATATCAGGGGCCAGGCCTGCTCTTTTCATAACAACTCCCTCACTAATAGGGTCCCTTTAATTCCTTCTGAAGGCAGAACCTCCATATGAACGAATTACCTTGCACTAGGCCCCACCTCTTAAGAGTCCCACCACTTCAGCACCACCATGCTGGGAACTGAACTTCCAGGACACGAACCACTGGGGAACATGTTCAAACCGTATCCAAAGCACAACAATTAATTCTTGTTCTGCTGGATCTTGGGTCAGTAGTTTTGTGAAACTGTCTGCTTTTCAACTACAGAGTTCTGGGAATCGTGACTCAAGTCTGCCAATACAGACTCAAAGTTCAGCTTTGAAGAGACAGTGGTCTGGAGTACAGAGTACAGTCCTCTCCCGCAAGGCTCTGAGACTGTCCTTTGATGAAGACACAAACTCAGGCCTACAGATTAGAGCAGAGCCTTTGAGCAAGCATCAAAGGAAAAGAAAAACTATCTGTAGCTAACACAGACTTGATGGCTACAGTACATTTATTACTAGCATTTTTCAAATGTGAAAAGTACAATGAGGTTTGCAGTAAGAATAATGCAACTGACAAGGAAATTTAGTTCTTTCTGTGCAGAACAAGGATTTTAAAAACTCTACTCACCCTCCCAATATCTACAGAGATGACCTGCCCAGGTGCTGATCAATGTCTGAGGTCCTAGGGATTCAGCCACAAGGAGGGGGGGCTGAGAGCTGTCTAAATCCAGCCCTCAGCAAAGCAAATAGTAATGGCTGGAAGCTTAAAATAGATCTGGGGAGGAGCTATTAACATGGCATATGAAGCAGTTCAGCACCTCTGGACTTTTTCATTTTGGAAATTGCTGTGGTCCATTTTTACTTCCTTCTATGCAATGGACAAGAAAATACAGACGTTGACTAACATATTTGCCCCATTTGATGATGAACTAATTTAGACCAGCCAAAATAATTGTTCCACAGGGACACAGGAATTCAACCTCAGTTCAGAAAATCCCTGACATCTGACGTAGGAGGATTTATAGGTTTAGTGGAAATTACTTTCTCCTGCTTGCCAGATTACATACTGCCGGTTGATTTTTTTTTTTTTTTTGCATGAGTAAACATCCTTCCAATAATGAACAGACCAATAATGTCTTAAGAGAGAAAAGAACATCCGTTTCCTTTTTGTGGTTTCTTGAGAGACGTGTTTGGATTTTGAAACCCATGTTGGCTATCCAGAATATGAAATTTGGTATCTTCCTTTTGTGGTGGGGATGGGTTTTGGCCACTGAAAGCAGAGTGCACTGGCCAGGAAGAGAAGTGCACGAGATGTCTAAGAAAGGCAGGTGAGTGAACACTGAGCGACAGAGGATTTTAGGGAACGAGGCTGTGCAGAGCAAGCTTGGGCATTGTTCTGGGAACCGAGCATCATTTTCAGTTTCTGTGTGTTCTGTGTGGATGCCCTTTCCCTTTGTTCTCCCATTTCTCCCCTTTTCTTTTATAATGATACTAGATTAGATGATATTATCATCATATATTCTTAAACTCTTAACTAATAATTGTTCTGAGTGACAGAGATTCTGGAAAAAAGAATATATGCACATTTTCTAAAATATTAAGGGCAATTCTTTGATATCTGTATCCTAGGTTTAGGACAAATCTGTGAGTTCTCAAATCACCTATTGGATCTTTAATTTCGGAGAATTATTTTATTATTTCTATTAGATATGTGGGTCCCTTCTTAATCTTAAAAATAAAGGTAGATTGTGTTGAAGGACCATTTGATCATTGCCTACCTGTAAACTGGGAGGGGGCAGGGATGGAGCTGCCAACACAGTACGTGCGGCCCCAGCCGTACCAGCCTGTGCAGATGGAGCTTAGACAGGGAGCGACTCCCCACTGGCCCTTCTGCGCTTGGCCTCACCTGGGTGCTCTGACGGCAAGGTTGTATGTATGTGCACTGCCCACCTGCTTGGATGCCATTAGTCAATAAAGCAGGACTGTGGGGACAACCTAGTCCAGCACTCTTTCTTGACTGATGAGGAAATGGAGTCAATAAGGGCATCCTTGATTTTTGATCCTTAGCCTTAGCTCCAAGTTTGATTTTGGCTTTCTAGAAGAGCTGGAAATACCAATTAATATGAAAGGAAATTGAGCTTTTGGAAGTTTAGGGCTGGGGGCAGGTTGTGTCTTGCTTCTCAGTGCCCTGCCTCTTGGGATTTGAGAGACACTTATACGAATGGGCTCCTACACAGCCAGTATAGCTCATAGCACTTATTTCAAGCTGCTTTGCAACATCATAAAACTAGGAGCTTAAATATCTAGAGGCTACCATGAGCCCTGGTGTACTGAGAAAGCCCACTGTGCCCACCAGAATTAGCTTGGCAAACAGTGTAATTTGTGGAGTGATACAACCATAGAGATTGCTTGAACCAAATATGCTCATAGGAATTAAAAGTAACAATAGCTATGAATCATATTGGTTGTCATCAAAAACTTCTCATCCTCTCTCCCAAGTTAGAGTAAAAACCTATTAGCAAATGCGGGTGATTAATAAGTCACAGTGAATTAGACTTTTGTTTTAAAAATTTTTTAAAGATTTTAATTTTATTTATTAATTTTTTATTTTATTATAAACTCATAAATTATAACTATACATTTATGGGGTATAAAGTGATGCTATTTTTATGTATTGCATATATTTATATGTGTATAAATACATACACAATGCAAAATAATTAAATCAAGCTAAGTAACATATTCATCACCTCAAATACATTTCAGGTTTTTTTTTTGTGTGTGTGTGTGAGAACATTTGAAATGTATTCTCTTAGCAATTTTGAAATGTAATGTTAATAACTATGATTACCATGTTGTGTAATATATTGCAAAAAAAAAAAAACACTGATACCTCTGTCTATTTGAAATTTTCTACCCCTTGACCAATATCTCCTCCCAATCCCCCTCCCCACGCGCCTCTGGAAACCGAATTCTCCTTTCTGGTTCAAAAAGTTCAGTTGTTTTAGATTCCACATATAAGTGACATCATGTGGTATTTAGACAGGTCTATTTTTGGACATTAAATTTAAGAAAGTGGTCAGATAGTCTGTGGAGATCTCTTTTAGGCATTTAGAAACAATTAGTCTATTGGAGTTTGTTAGAGTTGGAGCTTACAAAGGAGATAGAGTCATTGGCTTTAGGTATTTGTGTCTGTGACTTGTTAAACCCAGAATAATGTCTTCCAGGTTCATTTATTCTGTCCACAAATGACAGACTCCCCTTCTTTTTTTGAGGCTAAATAGTATTCCATCGAGAATACATGCCATTCATCCAACAATGGGCCCCTGGGTTGCTTCCATATCTTGGCTATTGCAAATAGTGCTTCAGTGGACCCGGAAGTGCAGGTGTCTCTTCAACATCCTGAACTCGGATCCTTTGGGTATATACTATGAAGTAGGATTGCTGGACTTTATGGAAATTCTATTTTTCTTTTTTTTAAGAACCTCCATACAGTTTTCCATGATAACTGTACTAATTTATATTCTTACCAATAATGTACAAAGATTTCCTTTTCTTAACATCCTCTCTAATGCTTAGCATTTATCTTTTTTATAACAGCAATTCTGACAGGTGTGATGTAATATCTCATTGTGGTTTTAATTTGCATTTCCCTGGTGATTAATGTTATTGAGCTTTTTTCTTTTCTCATTTATCTGTTGGTTATTTTTATGTCTCCTTTTGAAAAAACAAATTGGCCCCTTGCCCTTTTTTAATAGTTGGGGAGAGGGGGGTCTTACTGTATTGTCCAAGTTGGTCTCAAATTCCTGGGCTTAAGCAATTCTTTTGCTTCATCCTCCTGAGTGCTGGGACCATAAGCATATATTGCTGTTCCTGGTTTGCCCTTTGTAAAATCAGGTTATTCACCAGGCATGATAGTGCACACCTGTAACACCAATAACTTGGAAAGCTGAGGCAGGAGGATTACAAGTTTGAAGGCAGTCTCAGCAACATAACAAGACTCCATTTTGAAACAAAACAAAATAAAAAACTTAAAGGGCTGTGGATGTAGCTCAGTGGTAAAGCACCTCTGGTTTTCATCCCCAGTGCCACCAAAAAATGCATAAAAATTAAATCTAGTTATTTGCTTTTTTACTATTAGGTTGTTTGAGTTCCTTATATATTTAGGGTAGTAATTCATTCTCAGATGTACACCTTGCAAATATTTTGTCCTGGTCTATAAGTTAACTCTTCACTCTGCAAATTGTTTCCTCTGCTGTGCTTTTTAGTTGGATGTAATCCCATTTGTCTTGCTTTGGTTACCTCAGCTTTTGGAGTCAGATTTTAAAAAATCATTACCTAAACCAATGTCTTATAATTTTACTGCATGCTTCCTTCTAATATTTTTATAGTTTCGGGTTTTACATTTAGGTCTTTAATCCTTTAAGAGTTCATTCCCATAGGATGTGAGATGAGAGTCCAGGTTCATTCCTCTGTATGTGAATATCCAGTTTTCCCACCACCCTGTATTAAAGAGACTGTCATTTTTCCATCATTGTGTTCTTGGGACCCTTGTTGAAAATCAACTGATTATAAATGCACAACTAGAAATGATGTATATTCTGAGCCATTGGTTGATGTGTCTATTTTTATGCCAAGATCATGCTGTTTTAAGTACGGTAGCTTTGTAATACAGTTGGAAATCAAATAGTATGATGCCTCCAGCTTTGTTCTTTTAGCTTAAGATTTTGTTTTGGTTATTTGGGGTCTTTTGTGTTTCCATGAACAATTTTGGATTGTTCTTTCTATATCTGTGAGAAATACCATTGGAATTTTCATAGGAATTGCATTGAATCTATATATTGCTTTGAGTAGTTATGGATATTTTAATAATATTAATTAGATGGGCACAGAAGTACACGCCTATAATCCCAGCAGCTAGAGACACTGAGGCAGGAGGATTGCAAGTTCAAATCCAGCCTCAGCAAAAGTGAGGCGCTAAGCAACTCAGTGAGACTCTGTCTCTAAATGAAATACAAAATACGGCTGGGATGTGGCTCATTGGTCAAGTGCCCCTGAGTTCAATCCCCAGCAACCCCCCCCAAAAATAATATTAATTATACCAATTCATGAATGTGGAATATCTTTCTACTTACTTGTGTCTTCTTCAATTTCTTTCATCAGTTTTTATAGTTTTTAGTGTAACTGATACCTCCCTGGTTAAATTTATTCTTAAATATTTTATTCAGGTTTCAATTTAGCTATGGGGCTGTTTTCTTTATTTAATTATCAGAATATATAAATGGGGCTGTTTTCTTTACTTCATTTTTAGAATATAGAAACCCCAATGATTTTTGTGTGTTGGTTTGTATCCTGCAACCTTAATACATTCAAATATTAGTTGTAACAGTTTGGGGACGAAATCTAAGTTTTCATTTGTAAGATCACATTATTGGAGCTGGGGTTGTAGCTCAGTGATGGAGCCCTTGCCTGGCATGCGTGAGGCACTGGGTTCAATCCTCAGCACCACATAAAAATAAGTAAATAAAATGGGTGTACTATGTTCATCAACAACTAAAAAAAATTAAGAAAAAAGATCACATTGTCAGCAAACAGCAACAATTTCATACTTTGCTTCCTTTCTTTGGATACCTTTCATTTCTTTCTCTTGTGTAATTGCTCTGGCAAGGACTTTTAGTTCTATAGTTAAATAGAAATACTGAGAGTAGACATTCTTATCTTATTTCTGATCTTAGAGAGTGAAATAGACTTCCTTTTTAAAGATTACTTTTCAAATTTTCTTTTTTTATTATGTCTACACATATAACCAAAAATCTTCCACATTTTTATCGGTGCCTTAGGCATAATGGTGAGAATCATTGTTACATATTTGTACTTGCACACAATTAACAATATAATTTGTTCAGTATCTTTTCTAGTAATTCTGCTTTCCCTCCCCTCTTTCCTCTCCTGGTTCCTTTTCCTCTACTCTACTGATATTCCTTTAATTTTTATGAGATTCCCTCTCTCCACACACATACCTTTCTTTTCCTTTTTCCTATCTCCTCTCCACATATGAGAAAAAAACATACGCCCCTTGACTCTAAGTTTGAGTTGTTTCACTTAACATAAGGTTCTCAAGATCCATCCATTTTCCTGCAGATGACATAATTTTCTCCTCCTCCTCCTTTTCTTCTTCCTCTTCCTCCTCCTCCTCCTTTTTTTTTTTTGTACTGGGGAGAGAATCCAAGGTACTTAACTACTGAGCAATATTCCCAGCCCTTTTTAAAATTTTTAGTTTGAGGCAGAGACTCTCTAAGTTGCTTAGAGTCTCACTAAATTGCTGAGA